CCAGTAATGGCTTTTCTTGTCTGCTAATGAAGATATAGATAGCTTGATTATGCATGTGTTCGACTCCTGTGCCTGGACCCTGCATTGGCTTGAACTTGAAAGTGGATCAGCTTGCAAATTCTTTTTCTTTAAGGAAAACATAATAAAAGCCCCCCCAGACCTTTATATAGTCCAGTCACATTAGACAGAAACTAGACTGATGAACTCTTTACACTCGGGAGTTTCCTGCCTTTCAGGCCAGGCAAAGGGAGCACAGTTACTCCTCCTCCTGTACCTTTGTATTTCAGGTACGTTTAAGAGCTCACGTTTCAAAATGCAGGGCTATTGAACAGGGAGCATCACCTGCAACAGGCATGAAGCTGCTCTTTGTTGCAGGTTTAAGGTCATGCTTTTAGTCTGAGGATTATGATCTCAGACTGCAGTGTTATTGGAAGGCAGGAAATAATCCTGTCAGAGTTGATCTGATAAACCTGGTGTACCTTAGTGTATAGATTGTGCAACTAAACCAAACCCCCACCCTGTGGCATTAATTCTTGAGCAATCACTTAGAAGCTGATTATCAACTAAGTGGGAGTCCAGTACCAGAATCTGTTTAGAAATAAGTTTTAGATAGCGAGTGGCTGCCTATGAGACTTAAATAACAACACTAATGAAATACAGTAATAGAAATTATCCCCTTTAATCTTCTTCCTTGGGGATGCCTGTGCCCCAGTCAGTGGGGAAGGCAGCACCATACTCAGCTCTACCCTGGATGCACCACTGCAGCCAGGTTCCATCATGCCATGGGAAATCCCTCTCATCCATGGACTTCATGGACATCCAAAGCCCTAAGAAATTTGGATACAATAAGTGACAGCAGCAGCTTTGGCACCTGCACCCTGCAATGAGCTCACCAACCCATTAACCTTTCCATGGTATAACCAGGCAGCCCACCACTTGTATATGATAGTGCTGGAAATGTAAATTAAAGGGTAGTAGGCAGCAAGGAGATGTACGAAGGGAATCATGGATATCTGATCTGGTTTAGACAAGACAGCTTGGGTAGGCAGCTAATTGGGAGCCGAGGGAAACAGCTTTCCCGGCTGCAGGCAGCTTGCAGAGAAAGGAGGTATAGGGTTTCTGCATGAAGAAGCTGAGTGCTAAATTGAGTATGGTATTGATGGCAAATGCATTTCATCATCACATTATGTATGTATATATAAAAAATGCAGCAGAGAAAAAGAAAAATAAGAATTTATCAAGCTTTCTGTGCCTTTTCTGAATTTTCTAGGGAATGTTTTCTATCAGTGCGGAGGGAGAGACAGCGCAGGAGGGAATGCTTTCACTTAAATGTCAGCAGGCTGAAGCAATTCCCTTTCCTATGTTTTGTTCAATGAAAAAGAAATTAATACTGAGACTTATTTAGTAAACAGCATAGTCAGGACAATATTTTTGGTATCTACACATGAAAACAATTCTGATAGTTCTGCATTTTGAAGAAGAAGGCATTTATTCTGTACAAAACCATAAAGATTCATCATTACTTACTGGGGTGACCTTCATTATTAAATCTCTGCTCTGCAGTGAGCAGTGGACACTCTTCAGGCACATGCTGGGAACTTCAGCTGCCTTTATCCTTGAGTTCTTCTTTAGTCTCACAAAGTAAGACTAACATCAAAACAAGGGAAAAAAAGATCATGAAAGGAATAAAGAAGTTCCCATGGGTACAGAAGACAACCTTAAGTGATGGACCATCCAGTCAATGCAAGTCATACATTCATTTAAGGACTGCAGAAACTTAAAGAATTAAGAGGGGAGAAATCCCACTTCTTTTGACAGTACAGCATCTTTTGAAAGGTTGTAACAGAGCAAACATGGTATAGAAATAGAGGGGCAAAGAGCAAGGTGGGAAGAAAGCAGTAAAGGATTTCATAGGTGAGCTCCACCTTGAAAGCTTGTCATAAATGTTATTTCAGTTAAATTAAAGGAAGTTTCTTGCAGTGCTTTATCAAGTCCTCTTTTCCTTTGTTGTAATCTAAATATGTTTCAAGAGGTCTTTTCTTTTTTTCATGTGATTAAAGGAGATTCACAGTAGAAAAATTTCAAAAGCGCCTTATTTTAATAACATGTTTCCATTAAACTCAAAATTTCAGCATGAATCCCATTCCTTTGGAAGGCAATAGGTTTTTTACATTTGGCTTCTGTCAGACCATAGGATGATGGTGAAGTGGATGGACAGTGTATATGTGTATTGTGGACGTCTGTGTATCAACAGTAGAGAAGAAAAAATGAACTCCTGGGTACCATTAGGGAAACCTGATCTGGTCCCACAAGCAGGGACAGGGAGAGACTTATTCACATTATCTCCATGTGCCCAAATCAAGAGCCAGATACACACGTAAGAGCAGTGACACAGAGCACTTACACTGGAACACTGACTGTATTAGACGAGCATCTTTATTTGATATATAAATCTAGATGATGGGAATACCCACCTGAGTGTGAAACTCATCCCTAGTGTAATGCATTTAAGGCAAGGGCATGCATTTGACCATCTGACTAAGCAATTTGAACACGTATTCACTGCTAACTGAAGTAATACATCAAACCTTGACTTGTTTCACCAGTATGTGTGAAGGGAGAGCAGGCAGTCTGCAGCCACTAGGTGGGATAACAGCCTAGCAGGCAACGTGGCTGGGAGATCACTGCAACAGAGCCTGCACCCAGCCTTTGGCCAGCATCTCTTACAAGGGATGGGCAAGTCGAGCACCACGCTATGTGTTAAACCTGCCTTGGGCAGGGAGGAGATTTAGGAGACCGCAGCATCTCTTTAAATATTCATTAATGTTCTCTGTAATTGCTCTGTTCCCGTTCAAGTGGGTTTATAACTTGACTATTGCACAGGTCTGTAATTGAGCTTGACACATTTGTGAACATCCTAACAGGGATGGTTCAGAGCTCTTGCAAAAACTGTAGTGCTGTAGTAAAGGAAATGGGCAAAACTCTTGAAATCAAAGGGACTGGCTTAATTTTCATCAGAGGGATCTGACCTGGAGATTTTTGTGCTATGTTTTATGGAGTAAGAAAAAAAAAAAAAGAAACGTGATATTTCCTCTTTAATAATTACAACGCATCTTCCATGTACCTTCAACAGCAATGTTTATTAAAAATGCATTAATAGTTCTGTTTTGCTTCAGGCAGGGGTATCTTTCATAGGACAGGCAGCTTAATTTGGATCTTAACGATGATGATGTTCTGCCTCTGTTCCGTGAATTAATGCAACTGAGAGATGAACTCCAGAGCCAAGATGTAAGAGCAGGAGTTTGGCTTTTGCACATAAATATGCTTAAGCAGAAAGCAAGAGCATTTTCTCCTCACAGCTTAAAGCAGCCCAGAAAGTTCCCCAAAAGAGCAAGAGGAAAGCCAACCACTGAGTAGGAACAGAGAGACAAAATAAGGCTTAATATTAACACCATCACCCCCCTGGTTTGAGTATGTGAGTGGTTTTCTCACTCTGTTTTTTGCATATAGAGTTGCTGCATTCCTTTATTTTCCTTTGTACAAGTATATCTTGTACAAAGGAAAGAGGTGGTTATGCAAACCCACTTGCAGACCAAGTGATTGATTATCATCATGTCTAGTCTCTTCCAGAAGCCAATATGATGCCGCAGACCTTGCTTCCATTGATAGGTTGCCCTAAGAAAAATCCATATGGGCAATTAGGTTCCCAATATGAAGGGGCTTTGCACAGAGGCTTGCACGTGACTTTGCCAGGTAACAGAAAGTGATTTCTGCAGGTCAACTGTTTAGTAATAAATTGGGTATATATGTATGCAATACATGTTTGTATATACATAGTATTCTGAAAATGGCGAAGACGCGTGTTTGGCAAGAGGAGACTGAAAATGCCTCTTACATGAGTTAAGGATCGGGAATCTGTAATCCTTAAGGAAATGTAGGACTGAAATAGTAACGAATCCCATGCAAATCTCAAGCAAGAGGTACAATACCAAGACTAGCAGGTTTCTTCCACCCAAAATCCTCTCTCACAAAAGCAGTCTGAGGATACGGGGTTGCATAAGAAGTCAGGCTGGTGTGAACAGATCACTGTCATAACTACATTAATGATGAAAAATATTTTTGGGCATCATAGCATTGATTTCCCTTCTAATGAGAGCCTTACCTGCCTCTGCAACTGTAACAAAAACCATTATGGATCACCACGGAAAGAGCATTCTGGATGATCCAATTTGCCTTTCAATGCGCAGAAGAATTTGATTTTGTAGCATTTTCAAAAGGATTTGGAATTACAAAGCTAAATCAGAATTATTTTTATGTATGAGAGAAATACCCTACTGACCCAGGCCAGAAAACAAGCATGGATTAACAATTTTCAGCCTAAATAGCCACAACAAGCAAAAGTGTAACAGGAATGAATCATCATTAGATTTCAGAAGCTGCTACTGGCACTGGCTGCTGTTATTTCTCACTTTTAACAATCAGGCATTATAAGGGAGCTTGTACTTTGGAAAGTATCAACTCTCTCAAGAGTTACACTGACAAGTCAGGCTCTGCTGAAAATAGCAACCAGCAAGGGAAAGAAATGGGACATTTATTTTTCTTAGGTGTAGTTTGTTACAAATAGGGCATCACTGGAAATGCCTTCCATGTATTCCATGTAGGGCACAGCTCAGCCTCTCTGCCTCCTCCTCAGCACCACTTCTGTTCCTCCTTCCAACTTGCACCTTGTTAAGAGATCAGTTCAAGGTGCTCAGGTTTCCCTTGGGTTTAGGAGATCTCAGTCAAGTGTGGCAGCAAGGGCCTTTGACAGGCTGAAAAGTGACTTGTAGGTCTCGGAGGAAATCAGCCTCTGACATGAGACCTGAGCCTTTGGTGTTTGGCATCGTGCTTCCACCCTGAGTGCATCTATTATTGTTCCATGGGCCCTGAAAGAGATGTCAGTCACATGGCTGAAGGACAGAGGAGAGCTATAGGAACGAGAACCCTCTGGAGTGACACGGTTTCATGCTGTTTCTTTAATTTTTTGTCTGGCAAGTGAAATATCTTTCACCAGAAGGTGGGAAAGGACTTGGAACAAAATTGATCTTGGCTGAGCAAACATTTGACAACGTTCTGTGGGAAACAACCATCTGTCTTGGGAGATATCAACTCCAGGAGATATTGATGGCACTAAAAATATCTGCCTTAGTCCCCAGTCCCACGGCATTCGGTTTTCAAGCGTGGAGAGAGCTTCAATCCTTCAGCACTAAACCTTTTTATTTACTGTATTTTTGGAGTGTTCACTTGCCAGGTGTGCAGTGAAAGGCCCTGGTTTGTTCAAGATGCAGCCGCACACGTTTTGGTGCCTGGATCGAGTGGAAACTATAGAGGAGCTGCAAGAGAGATAATTAATATGGATTAAATAGGGAAAAGGGCTTTGTGCTCTGCTTCACAAGTACAGATCGTACACAGAGATGGATGTCTCTATCTCAGAAGAGCTGCCTGGACCCAGTTTGGCAGGCTGGTTTCTTCTGAGATACATGAGAGGAAAGAAAAAACACAGTCTTTGAAAGAAACTTTAAAAACGTTCTATGAATTCAAAACAGCTCTTCACAAAGAGGCTAATGCATTTATTGAAACTGAGAGGCAGCCTGCATCCCATGAATCATTAACATTTAGACCATTTCACCTTCCCTGTGTGGATAAAAGTCAAGATAATCCCAAGGTTTTCCATGGAGATGTGAAGAAGGGGCAGCCTAAATTCACAGATAAGTGTTCTGCACAGAAGCTGACATGTCTGCTTCATGCCTGTGATTTGCTGGTCTCCTGCAGTCCAGGCAGGTGCTTTTCTGTGGGCCTGTGAAGTAAGTAATAGTTATTTTTACCGCAAACTGGAGATCTTGCTACCAGGACGTATTCCTCTTTGGAAGAGGCAGTCATTGGCCACCAGGGATCTCTGTGGAGTGTCAGAGACCAAGGCATTACAGATGAAAGCCTTGATCTCTAGTCCCATACCTGCTCCAGTGTCTTTCTCTCTCCATCTGTGATCAGTGCAAACTCCAACATCCACATCTTCCCACAAAGACCTTCAGCTGCAGTAAGAACGAGGTGTAAGGTGTGTTTGAGATGCGTGTATTGCTGTTGCCCAGCAGAGTCAATAACAAGGGCCACAAACTCATGCCAAGAGCAAGAACAAACGATGCTTCCTGCTGACATCCCCCTGCCACCAGCAACAGCCCACCAGTGAACCCCAGAGCTAGATGTACTCTCTCCATGTTTAGTCTCTGCTACAGAGGACTTCTTTCTGTGGCCAACGTGACAAACCCATGGGAACCCACGCTGCTTTCCTTGCAGAAGAATGACTGCTCAGCGTAAACAAATGATTGAAAGGCAGGGACATGAAAAGGGGCAGGCTTACCAGAGCATAACTTCTCCTCATGATGAAGAAGGCTAAAATAAGCTAGACTGGCAATCACACTTTAATGATGATGATGATGATGATAATATCAATGCATGTTGAAGGCCTGTGGCTGAGTCTTCCTCAAAAGCTGACTTAAACGATACAAAAGAGCAAGAGATGTTAAAACCAATCAGTGATGGAGGAGAAAGATGCAATGACTGCTTCATCCGTATATACTCAGGTGGACAAGGAAAAGGGGGTGTTCCAGCAGTACAGAATAGATTGATAACAAAGAATTCCCATTTCTGGAATAGCTGAGGGAAGAAAAAAAAAAATATAAAAATGCTTTAGAAAACAGCAGCTTCATGGTCCTGGAATAGTGAATGCTACATGTACGGGGAGAAAAGGAGTAGGGGCTTGCTTGCTGGGCAACTGGAGCAACCAGAACACTCTGGGGAGTGATAAAGATAACGGATCGCACCCAGGAAAGAAGTGAAAACACCTGAAAGAGAAGGGGAAGCAGGAGAAGGGATTTCTTCCCGTATGTACAGTGAGAGGAGACGAGACCAGGCTGATAGGATGCACACTTCTTTAATGATTTCTTTTTTTAGTTGGGTTTGTTTTTCATGACAGTTCTGAAATAGGATAAAGTACAGAGAAAGGCGATGCTGCATAATGTGGACAGGAAAAGGGAAGTGTTCAGCTTTTCCATTTAAATGCATGGAAATCTCTGTGAGGTCTGTGAATTTAAATGCATTGTGCTGAAGTAAACGACTCCAGTGACAGAACAGGCTCATCCTGAAGGCTCATAAGCACTTACTGAAATGATGAACTGTGCTAATAGTCCCAGGCTGTGTTTCAGGATGCTCAGTGTGGCACTGACTCAACAAACACATCAGACAGACAGAATTTAGCACCAGAAAGCCCTCTTTAGCTCTTCAGCAGTGTGACCACTGCTGTGCTCACAGGGACCTAGCTGCAGGGATGGGATGGATGCTACAGCTGTGGAATGGATGCCCATCCACAGTGAGCTCCAAGGTGGGTGTCCATGGGTGGTGTGACATACCAAACTGCTTCTGTAAGAATCACTGCACATATCCTGCTGATCCTCTCTGCCTTTTTCATCCCACTTTTTCCCTGACAGCCGCAGTGCTCTGCAAGGCAAGGATGCAGCTGTTGCAAACTGGCCTCATGGAGAAATAAAGGAGGAATGGAAAAGCTGATAGATACAGGCCTGGACATACCCATGGAGGGAATAAGCAGCCCAGGTGTGGTGGTGGGAGCAAAGAGCATGTGCTTGGCTTCCTACTTAGTGGTGACACAAAAACCTCAGTCTGTGACACAGAGCTGGGGACGCTGCTACTCGCACTCTGGCTGCCTTCCTCCGTGTTTCATTGTGCAGGGTGACAAAGAGGAAGAAAACACTTGAAAGACACTGGATTGCTGCTCAGGGCTGGAAGTTATTGGTGGTGCCTTACCAATGGGAGATCTTGCTGCCTTTGAATCACCTTTCCCAGATGTCCAAACCCAAACAAGTTCCTTTTTAGCATCTGAGGGAACACCATCGTACCTCATGAAGCACAGGCTGGCCTGAAAGCTAAGGACATGAAAAGCAGGCCATTATAAATAAAAACCAATGACTCCATATCAAGCTCCTTATTCCCAGACCTTCAAAACCCAAATGAAGCCAATTAATGTAAAGAACCACATATGGTCACTAATAATACATACATTTCAGTTGTCCTGTGCAAGCCAAAGCATTTCTGCCACATCATCAAATGCATTTATATCTGTGCACTCTTTATTCAGTAACGATTTATTTATGTACAGTTATGGTGCACCCTGAAACACACAGCTAACTAATTAACTCATAGCCACCTGGAATGGCAATTAGCACAACAAAATCTGGAGCAAAAGCATAAGGCTGAGCATGGGATGTACATGCTTGAATCACTGAAGATAGTCAGTCCCAATGGTTTTAACTCACATAAGGAAAAAAACATGCATTTCAAGTTGAGGCTGTCCAGTGCTAATGGCAGGTCTGGAATATCAGGCTCTGACTGTGTGGGAGGCATAGGCTTAAGATCCCTTGGCCTTCAAGCCTGCGCAGTGGGATGTGCCTTTCAATATGCTATTACAGTTAGACCAGAGAAAATACTGAGTCTTCTATCCCATGGAAGCATAGAATCATAGAATGGTTTGGGTGGAAAGGACCTTAAGATCATCCAGTTCCAACCCCCTGTCATGGGCAGGGGCACCTCACTCTAAACGATGTCACCCAAGGCTCTGTCCAACCTGGCCTTGAACACTGCCAGGGAAGGAGCATTCCTTCAGACAAACTTATTCTGCCAACAGATCATGGACTCGAGGTTTTTGTGATGGAGAACAACAGATCTTCATGGAACCGCTGTACAGGAACCAAAGCAAAACCAAGTTAAATTTGGGTGAAAGACTTCATACTCTGTGTGCATACGCAAGAGGGCTGCTAAGTTGATAGAAAGCCTTCTGATATTGTAACTGCTGGACTTGAGGCTCCTAGTATTTCAGTATTTACCATCTTGCTTCTTTTGCTACGATGAAGAATCACAACGATTGGGCATTGCTTGTGTAACTCCACACTGTGCATTTGCTGCTGATCGGTGGGTTTACTCCTGCTAGAAACGCGGAGGTGGGCTACAAAAGACGAAGCATTTCCTACCTGCATTTAAGCTCCTTTGTGCCTGTTAAAGGGCTTTGCCAAAAATCAATGACAACCTGCCTGCTCCCATGCCTAATTGTCACAAATGTGTGAAAACAGAACTCGGCGCAGTTAGTAATTATCCCTTCATTATGCCGATGTGCTTCTGATAGAATAATCATGATCGGAAGACAGGTGAGTCTCCTCTTTCCGTTTTCTGTTTGCAATTTTAACTTCTTTTTCTGCTAGTAAGAATACTCTTTCTGTTTTAAAGAGACAACAACGAAACCCGCCTTTGGAAGCCTGTGCCTGCCCATGCAGCACTCAGTGACAACGTGTCCCCTGACCCGAACAACCAGACTCGGCGGTAGCAAACAGCAGTGGAAATCACAGGCACATGAAAATGCTGGAGAGAAGGGCACATAAAAAGTATCTAAAGGTGAGTCTGAAAGAGAATTTGGTGCCCATCAAAGGTAGCTCAGAGTGTGCACATCATCCAGGGGCAATGTTCATTAGGATTAGTTAACTAGCAATTTCCTTCCTTGCTGGCTTTTAACCATTTGTTATTTATCATGCAGCCTAGTTTGCTCTGCAATAGACACTAAAAGGTTTAGGATAAGCAGCAGCAGTCACTCCAAGGAAGTAAAGCTCATCACGTACCCTTCAGCTGGAAATCATAAACAACCCTGGAAACACATAGCTGACCCCTGAGGTGGGAGAGGAAAACCAAGACGGCACCTTTCCTGATCCCTACAGAGGGAGCTGACAACAGCCATCCTTGATCTGCACATTACATGCAATGTAAATACATCTGTTCTTGCTAATCTTATAGTAAGTTTGATTCTAAATTTTGCCTTTACCTCCACAGCCTTTAAATTCATTCCTGTCTCTCCTCTTCTCCCTGTCTTTGAGGACAAGGGGTAACAGATTAAAACTTAAACAGGGGAAGTTTAGATTGGATATAAGGAGGAAATTCTTTCCTGTTAGGGTGGTGAGGCGCTGGAATGGGTTGCCCAGGGAGGTTGTGAATGCTCCATCCCTGGCAGTGCTCAAGGCCAGGTTGGACAGAGCCTTGGGTGACATGGTTTAGTGTGAGGTGTCCCTCCCCATGGCAGGGGGTTGGAACTGGATGATCTTGAAGTCCTTTCCAACCCTAACTATTCTATGATTCTATGAGTCTACGACTGCCTGCTCTTGGCAGTCTCTTCCTCCTTTCCATACCATCCAAAAATGTTCATATTCCTCCTCAACTCCGTATTCATGCAGTCTTCTGTCCCATCATATCTAGCTATTCAGAGATACATTTGAGAAATAAAATAAATAAAATTAAGTTAATAAAACTTACAATCCTGGGAAAATATTTGCTTTGGATATGGTATAGAGAATTTAGGAAGCTGGGAACTCCCAGTTTCAGGAACTGGGGGACTGTTTTACCTGGTACAATGCCTTTTTTGCACTACTGACCAGAAAACGCTGGTCTGCCCCTGGACTGTTTATTCCAGAACTAGTGAGCACTGGCAGCTGTGCTGGAGAGTTTGAAAAGGACAAGTGATGCTTGTAATTTGTGTCCAGCTTATTTAGTAAGGCAGCAGAGGATTTAGGAATGAGCCCAGATTAATTAGAGAGTTATGTGCCATTTTACAGGACAGCAAAGCCAGTGGCTGACTGTCATTTTAGAGTGACTGAGCTGTGACTTCTGTACAAGTGAGCAATGATGCTGCTGGTGGAGGTGAGAACAGCCATGCACCCATTTGCAAGTGGTTGGAGGACTGACCACCTCTCATGCAGAGCAAAGACAAATAGCACGGTTGTTTAACATTGACTCTATTAAAGCTCCTCATTCCTCTGGCAAATCCAGTTGATTTTCAGGACAATTAAACTGTTTGTGCCTCCATCCAGTCTGTTTGCTGCTGTTAAATTCCAAGGCAAAATGAGCTTCATTTAAAACAGCAGCATCAGTAATAGATAGTGCAGCTCTTTGTAATGAGATCCTCTCATCTCATTTGGTGACTTAACAGTGAGCAATCACAATAGTTAGCAATGCAGATAATGCCTAACTACTGACATCTGAGCCAGCAGACAGGGACAGGGCTTGCACATGAGAGGTGAAGTTTCAGGCTTCCTCAAAACTGAAGTCAGTCCCTTCCTGCACAAAGGCCAGCAGTCCCAAGATAGTGTCACTTTTGCCACCTCCCATCCAAAAAAGTCTCCCTTTGCACAACCACAAACCTTGGCAAATGAGCATGAATCCAAGCCCAAAGCTCTCACACAACAGTTTCTAGGAGTAACCCTTCGGTTCATGTTCTGCCATAGCAAGGGCATGCTGCTTTGTTCTGAGGGGCAGCCCTACAAGCACATGTAAGGATCTCTACAAGCATTTCTGCATGCCACTCTGGTGCTGTGTGTTTCTTCCATAGAATCATAGAATAGTTAGGGTTGGAAAGGACCTTAGGATCATCACGTTCCACCCCCCCTGCCATGGGCAGGGACACCTCACACTAAACCATCTCACCCAAGGCTCTGTCCAACCTGGCCTTGAACACTGCCAGGGATGGAGCATCCACAACCTCCCTGGGCAACCCATTCCAGTGCCTCACGACCCTCACAGTAAAGAACTTCTTCCTTGTATCCAATCTAAACTTCCTCTGTTTCAGTTTTAACCCGTTACCCCTTGTCACTACAGTCCCTGATGAAGAGTCCCTCCCCAGCATCCCTATAGCTCCCCTTCAGATACTGGAAGGCTGCTATGAGGTCTTCCATCTCACCTTTTGTCACTGAAATTCAGGAGAATGCATCTTTCCGAACAAGAAAAATGAAAATCATTCCCCTATAGAGAAACCTGACCAGCACTTGGCATGCCACTGCACATGCATTTTCCCCAAGGGGAGGATGCAAAAGCAAACAAAACATGGCAGATGTTAGTCGTGGTGTTTAATGTGCTGTTGGAAGGTGCTCAGATCCTATAGAGCTGAGAGCTCTGATGTCTACAATACAGAAGCCAAATACTTCAAGATGAGCTTTTCATGTTGCTCTGTTTTGAAATATTTCAAGATGATGTGGCACAGAAATAATTTCGGCAAGAACAGATTTTCCTAAGCAAGACAGAATGATAAAACATTACACTTCATGGTATACAGCTGAAATGACACTACCTCAAAAGACATCACCTCATGTGAAACAGACGATCAAAATTGATTTCTGATGTTTGATTTTTCCATCAAAATGTGGAGAAGATGAAGAACATTGCAGCAGAATTTCTCCAGATTGAAACACAGGCTGTCCTGCACGCACAGAACTTCAGACATCACAAGTTGTCTCCATCTTTATAGAATCATAGAATAGTTAGGGTTGGAAAGGACCTTAAGATCATCCAGTTCCAAGCCTTCTGCTGTGGGCAGGGACACCTCACAGTAAACTACGTCACCCAAGGTACACCCATGTCATCTTTTCCAGTCATTAATGGAGTAACTACCTCAGTTTGTATCTACACTGCAGTGACAGACATGGTTAAATTCTCGGATGTATTAAAGGTTTCCTAAGCGAATGGAAAGGAGAATAAACCCATCTCAGTTTGTGCATGATGCATTACGTGATCATTTGACTTCAGGATGTTGGAGTTTGCTTTATCAGGATTTGACACTGTCTACTTGACTAAGCAGTAGCTCAAATTGAAAAGGTAACAAAAACACTGACAATGCCATGCCTGTGAGCTTCAAAACAGCACAAGGCTTGACTAATGGAACATGTTTTTTGCTCTTAAAGGAACTACTTACCCATTGCTTCATCTTCTGTTCACCAAGGATCATCCCATCACTTGCTTAGAGTTGTGGTGCATTTCTCTGTCCAGTAAAAGAATAAAATCATACAGATAGAATAAAAAGTTCCATGGCTTCTGCTTAAGGTGTCAGAGGTACCTTGTGGTTTCTGTACAAGGGCTCACTAAAGATACATTATGGAAGCAAGAGAGTAATAGCTGCCTACACAGAAAAGGTTTGCAAAGGTGTGGGAAGTTAAACAAGAGCAAAATCCTCTCCTAAGGGAAGCAGTGACAGAGGCTGCTTTACACTTCTTGACTCCTGGTTCTGGTTCAAGCACAATGTCACAACCAATGTACATCCAATTGCTCTTCCTAGCCAGGGCTGTTATATCCCCAGGGAGAGAAATCGCACCCTGGGACGCAGGCAGCAGTTGCCTGGTGCCTCTTGCGCAGTGCCCTGCTGGAAAAGTCACAGCACAATCATCTCCCTGGTGAATGTGGAGCCAGATCTAACCTGTGATGGGAATATCCTGAGGCTGTGCCAGGGACAAAGGGTGACACGACCAGAGCGGGCGTCCCCAGCGCTCGCCAAGGGCCTTGCTGCAATAAGCTCCATCTTCTGTGAGCTGCTATACATGAGCTGCGGGAGAACTTTCCCTAAGGAGAGAACCCACATCACTCTGGAATCCCATTCCTGTTATAGCGTCATACCCCACACCAAAGCGTAATTCCAGAGTAGATACAATGCAGTACCACCAGCTGCTGATGTTAAAAAGCCCAACAGGACAACAACCCCCTAAACATAATGAAACAAGCTGCCAAACCCCAGGATGTTATTTAGATACTACAATACTCAGAAATTTTCTCATTATGAATCTTCTCTTACTGAAGCCTCTAGATTTTGAATGTTCCAGCTTTTCTCTGGAAGCAGGGAAGCAAGAAAACTTGCCCTTTTTCCCTCCTCTTTTATTCTTTTCCTGAAGGAAATGTGCCTGTTCTTCAAGTCATATATTGCATAAGGTACCCTTGGAAATCAGCAAGCAGATTTGCAGTAGCATTCAGGTTCCTTCTTCATGGTGAATTTAGGATTACAGGGAGCCAGGTATAACTTCATAAAAAATTAAAAGGAGGAGAAATAAGCAGTCAAAATTAGCATGCAAAGGGGAAGCTGTATTTTTTAATGTGAATATTAATTCTACAGAAAAGAAGTAGAAGAAGTACCCTTAATAAAACAGTTTTCTCTTTTAACCAAAGACATGATTAAAACAAGCTCTTCGAAATAAATCCCCACCAAATATACCTGACAAAATATCCAAGGGAATTCTTTCCTCTTCCTACTCTTCTGTTGTCACATCTGTGGGGATATCTGTGCTGTTTCTTGCAATATATTTCAGGTAGCCTGGAAGCTTGTATCTTGTAAATCAGACTAAGATCCAGGCAGGTGGCATGAAGGGCTAAAAGAAGTTACTGCAGACCAGGGAAGAAGTGGGATTGAAGCTGGAGTCAGAGCTGGTGCCTGAGGGCAGCTCTGTGGGTGCAGGGTGAGGCGTTTGCCAGTCCCCTACACCGGGTCAGGTTTGTCACCCCTGTGTCATAAGTGGCTCTGTCCACATGCCCTGTCACCCATCTAGAGCCTTTTAGGCCTGGCCTAGCCCCTAAAATGAAGTATAAGGAATACAAGCAGCAAAGCTGGGTTTGAGCAGTGCAACCTTGCAGAGGAAGGGGATGCAGGAATCTCACCCCATCTGCAATCATGTATGGCTGTGCTTTGATCTAGGAAGGAAATTGCAGGTATTTCATAGGAAAAACACCTTTTTGGAGGAAATGGCAGCATGTATCCCTATGCCAATCCCGTAGGAATAGCTCTTTAACATAGGAGATGTTAAAAATAAGCATTTTTGTACCTGTCTTGTCCTTTTGACACCAAGTTGTAAGAACACGGAATAAGGACAGGTATGTCTGCAGGCATGCGAAAGCGTACACGTCGGCTTCTTGTCTGCATTGCCCAAACGTAGCCAACAGACTAAGCAGCTCAGCAGCCCGGAGAGGATTAACACATCAGGAGCAAAATGTAATCAAAAAGCGTATTTTCCCTCCTGTCCATGCTGCATGCCTGAGTACCAGGAGGGGGACAACACGCTAAAGGGACTGCATTGTACCCAGTGTCACACGGCATCATTAAATATCAGATTAAATAGCAGATAATTTAGGTAAAGACCAACAGGCACAAGGACACGCAGAAGCGCTATCAGCCAGGACTCCAAGGATGACAGGTTGTTACCACAATTTCCTAAGAGGCTGCAGCTGTGAAACTCCCTTTGTCTTTTATTTCTCACCCTCCCACTCAGCAACCTTCAGAAACTGGAGCTTAAGTCTCTTTTAAGTTGATGTGCTACAAAGGAACCGAAAGAAAGACTCAAGGGGAAGATATTGGCTTTAGCTATTTGATCCGGCTTTTTACATTGCTATTCTATGCCCAATTCTGGGAAAAAGAAATCCCTTTATCCTCCGATTCCCCACCTAATCAAAACTAGGCTATTTTATCCAAATAGCAAAGCCACGTTGCTTAACGCCTGCATTGATTTCAGCCCCCGGAGAGTCAGATCTGAAAGATTTTCCCTGAAGGACAGTCAGAAAGGAGAGCAATTTCTGCTGCTCTACCTTTGTCACAAAATATTACTCTTCCCATCAAGAAAACACATGTTGCAGCAGCATAAGGAGGGAAGGCAGCAACAACGGTGCAGGCAGCAGCCCTGCTTTGCCCCATCAGTGGCTCAGCGCCTTCCAGCACAATGTGAGACCAGCAAAGAGTGCTGCAGACCCAGCTCAGCTTTCAGTGGGGTTGTGCATTTTGCCTGCATGGGAAAGCATCAGGAGACGATGGCCCTTGCCACGGTCTCCAAGTTCCTTCAGGAACAGGGAAGAGTGGATTTTATCAGGGCAGGTCTAGTATTAGCTACAACTTCCTCAGCAGGAAGATGCCTCCATTCCATTTCTTTTGACTCCAAGGAGGGAGACAAGAACAACAGCACTAGAGTGCTGGGGTGATATACAGCACATCATACACAGGTATGGGGCATCTTCAAACCCCCAATCTCCAGCAGGTCCTCCCGGGGAAGCAGTAGCTGCTACCAACACTATGGAGACAGGGGAATCTGATCCCAGCCCTAGCTTTAACCCAGCCTGCCCCCATGGATAGAGATATGGGGCAGTGGACAAGCAGAACTTCCCACAACTCACACAAACAGAAACTCTTACAAGGTTTCAGGGTTCTACTGCCTCCACAGGGTCGATATTGTCAAAGGTGGGGAGAAGAAGAAGGAGGGTTATAAGCAGGTGAAACAGATTAAAGATCTCTTTCTCTCAAGGAAAGCAGGCTTTACAAAATGCCACAGAAACTTGAGCACAAGCCAACACCTATTTAGTATCTCAGTTTTCCTGGAGATTTGCAGCAGGAGCATGGAAGTGTGGAGATCCCTCAATTTCCCTTTAAAATAGAACCTATCAGACAGGCAGGAAAGAGCACTTTGCATCTCTTCCAGGTATCCCCGTTACACAGAGAAAACAATTACTATATCAATGGAAAAATTAAAAGCTGCAATTTGTTTTTCCTTTACAGGTGTCAACTCCTGAGTAGAAGATTGCAGCTGGGGAAGCTGAGTTTTGGAATGCAAATGGAAAAGCACTTTCTGTAGATGTCCTACCAGTAATAAGCTGCGAAGAACACAATCCCTTCGGCTCCAGAAACCATGCAGATGAAGCCCAGCTGTCATTACACAGTTGGGTCCCGAGTAGCAGCAGGGAGAAAAAGAGTGGATTTCAAAGTAGTTTCAACAAGAAGATGAAGCTGTTCAATTCAGTCAGGAATTGATCTGGATAATTCACTGTGCAAATGAAATATTGCACCTGGGTTTTGTTTCTTTTCTTTCTAATATCTCTCTTTTTCTAAATACATATATATATTCCTAACATTTCCTCACATGCTGCTCTGCCTTGCTCTTTACTAAAAGAAAAAACACATGCTGCAGAAGTGTTATCCAGCTTTGAACCCAAACACAAACTCTAAAACTATTCTTAACCTCATGCCTGCAGTCTCAAATACTCATAACATCAAATATGGCCAGATCTATTCTACCTGTTAAAGCCAACATACACTTCCAAGAGCAAGCCCTAGCCCAGACCACTGGTCTCCATGTATTCCAGATTAAGGTCAGGCTGATACCTTATCCCGAGCTCTGCCTTCACTCTCACAGCTCCAAATACCTGCAAAATGAAATGCATCACTGCCAATCTCCCATACAGGGAAGAAGGCTCTCTGCTAAGCAGGGCTTACCTGCTTCTAGTTTCCCCTCAATCTCCACTTAAATCTCACCCTGACCTTTGTTTCAGTACATCAAGGTTAACTGCAGTGTGCTCACACTGGCAAGCTAAATCCTTCTGAACCCTGCCTTGCACCAAGTTATCTTATGTGCTGACAACAGATGAAGCAGAAATAATGGATTTTCATTCTTTTTTGCAGCAGAGCATCCCTGAAGACCTTGCACAAGGCCTATGATGCCCAAGGAGATGATGTTGTGTTGCCATCCCCTGTTGCTATTACTTCTGCTTTAAAGACCCTGAGGTTTTCCCTAAACAGCGATGCAAAGATGAATTTACTGCTTCAAGAAGCAGAACTGGTGGTGCAGAAATCCACCAATTACAGGATTATGACTTGCTTTGGAGCTTTGCAGGCCAAGCCTTCCTCAAAGGCATTGATACTTAGGCCTTCTCTTTCATACTTTTGAATGGGTTTCTTTGGTGGTTTGGTTTTGGTTGGTTTTATTTGTAATTATGTGTTTCTTTATAAAAAGATCCTACAGTCCTGTCTCCTATTTTCTCATCTGAAAGTTTATTTAGAGGAATCATCTCCTTTTTGCCCTTAGTTAACCCCAAAGGAAGAAGATTCTGAGAATATTAAGAAAAACTTTGTCCAGTCAAAACCCTGACAACTGATCAAACATAAAGCAAAATGCATCAGGCCTGGTTTGCAGCAATGTTTATGAGCTGGGTTTGCTTCCAGTTGCAGCTGGTTATTGGTATTTCTAGGGCTGCATCCAGACCTCTGAGCATCATGGTGGTTGTTACCAAGCCCAAGAGCATCGGGATCTGGCATGCTTTGCCTCAAAAGGACATTGCAAATCCATCCATACAACTGCTGACCTGCCTCAGGTGCTGCAGCTGCACACAGCCTAGGAACAGCTCAAAAGCTTGCCAGAAAAAGAGATAAGCACGTTTAGGGGTATCTGCATAAATGATGGGGAAGCCTCAGCTGATCTCAAAGGGAGTGTGATCAGACCTGAGGATGGTTGCTTGTGGTGATACGTGATTTCCTGCTTTCCTGCATCTTATCCATTCCCAGAGCAGCCCTTCCCCCTTTATCATTTACAAGCTGGTTATTAAACTACAAGGCTGGAAAAATATTCCATGTTCTCCATTTCCTTCACTGAAATCACACTGAAATGGCACAGCTGCCCACTGCTGAAGCAGCTCCAGCCACAAGAGTCAGACACCTGCAAGAGGAAGGTCTGTCTTCTCAGAGCAAGTAAATCACTCCAATATATTGCTCAACAATGAGGCTAACTCCCAGCCAAGACAATACCTTTGGGACCTGCTGGTGAAGGCAGACGTTGCTCTCAGCCCATTCCTGTGTACTGACACAACAAGAAGCAGCAGCCTATTGTGATTTTTGCAACAGCACCAACATTTCTGTGAAAGATGAAGAAGAGGTCAGCCAAGAGATGAGGGATTCCTTGCCTTCCTCTAGCACACTCAGCTTTAGAAGGAAACTGAGTCACTGCTTGCAAATGCTGCAGACAGCCCCGGCAAGCATCCAGCAGCCTTTTAGTCTGGATCACTGTGACCCCAGAGGAACTTCCCTTAAGGGAAAGACAGATCCACTCTCACCTTCGGTTGTTTCTGGCAGTGCTAACAACGTCTTTGTCAAACACTGGCCTAAAAATATCCTTCAACAGCTGCACCTGTATCCTTTTATTTCTCAAGAAAATCTTTGCTTTTAACTTTTTTACTCTAAAGTGCATGCATAGACAAAGGAAAGCAAAACCAACAGGGGATGCAAAAGCATTACTGAAGATGATTACAATGCAATCTTAGTTAATGAGGTTGTAGCATACCTTATTTTCTCCCTTTGGCTTCTTATTAATATGAAAGATCCTTTTTGCTTTAAACCACCAAGAAGTACCAAAGTTCATGTTAAGTACTGATACACATCTGCTGGAAGGTGTTTGGTACTTAAGAAGCCGAGTCATCACTGGGGTTGCTATGGCAAACAAGCTGTTCTATCAGTCAGGAAAAGAAAGTGCTGTATAAATACTGAGTAATTACTCAGAGAAGTAACAGTGCTAGAGCAAGAACAAAACCTGAAGTAGCTTCACCCAGTGTAACGCAGCCAGATCCCTTCTCTGTAGTTACTGGAGATCCGTGACTGCAGCATATTCTGGTTTTGCTTTTTTCAGGAGCTACTCTTCTAGGCTGAAATGTATTTAGGAGGGTTTTCCTGCATCACACCTTACCTGAACTGAGCAACCCGATGTCGTGCAACCACTCTGACCGTAGGTTCACTGGGCATAATCAAAACAGAGCATGCCACATCTCTCAACAAAAATGACTAAATGGCAGCTGTTCAAACAGAATGGGGAGTGGTGAAATCCTCACCTACTAGAGCATTTCTGACAGGTTCCTGTCGGCTGTATATTGGCTCCATGCTGCTCAGCATCTCTGTCCATGGTTTAGAGGGAAAAAGAACACATCAGAATAATGACTAGTGATGTGTCACACATGATGCATGACACATACACACAGCAACACAGAAAAGAGTAGGACAACGAATAACAGCAAAGCCTAGTCATGTAAATCCAGTGAAAGGCAGCTGCTAGTGGAAACATGTTTGAAGCTGCTGCATTGAATTCATAGTTAAGGGGAGCTACACTGGATTTCCAACCAGGTAGCTAGGGAGAGCCCCTCCTGCTTTTCCTATCTGCTGGTTGTTCTCACCAACCCGGGCGGCTGAAATGGTCAAGAGACTTGGCTGTCGTAGAATCACAGAATGGTTTGTGCTGGAAAGGACCTTAAGATCATCCAGTTCCAACTCCCCTGCCACGGGCAGGGAAACCTCACACCAGACCATGCTGCCCAAGGCTCTGTCCAGCCTGGCTTTGAACACTGCCAGGGATGGGGCATTTACCACTTCTTTGGGCACCCCATCCCAGTGCCTCACCACCCTCATGGTAAAGAAATTCTTCCTTATATCTAACCTGAACTTCCCACTGCTAGTGCTGCGTTTACCTCCTATCCCATGCCCTGGAGCCATCAAAAACAAGGGTGAGCTTCAGAGCATCCAACTGGGAGAAGGGAATCAAGTAAGGAGACCGGTGGGTGGTAGATAGAAGAAAGCCTGGGAAGACAGGAGAGAGTTTTCATAGTTCTATCAGAAAGTCAGAGCTGAAGACACCAAAGCAAATGGTGTTATCATGAACAAAACAAAGCACAGTTTTGCCCGTCATGCTTTTAATTTAAAACTTTCTATTGTTGAGAGCTGTCAGAAGTCCCTTCTGGTTGATGTGCTTGTTTAAAGGCTGCATCCTACCATTACAGTATTCTGCATCCTACCATTACAGGTTATTCTGTCAAATCTTCCATATTCCAACTCTCTCTACCTTCATGAGCTGAGGTACATCCTCCCTAAGGTTACATGAGAAGTTAAGTTTTGTCTTCCTACAGGCTGTTGTTTCTCACTGTAGAATAAATGATGCCTCAGCTTCTTAAAAAAGCCCAGGTGTATTTCTGATACCATTGCCATAAACTTCAACCATTAGAGCAGTAAAGAGCTTAATAAACCAAAGTATCACAGTCTTGTTACCTCATTCCAGTTGCGCCTCAGCACCATACAGTCACTAAAGTATTTCTCATTACCACATAATTTTCAGGCTACTTCTGAATTTCATAGATGGAAAAACAGAAAACCAAATAGCTTATGCTATTTTATGCAGCTGCATAAATCTCTGTACAACCAATGTCCCACCAAAAGAACCAGAAACCAAATACCATCCCTGCCAAATCCCAGTTTCTCCCAGCTTGATGTGGGGTGGCAAAACACTTGCAGAGGGGAGGCAGGGGCTGCAGCCAATGCACTTAGATTTCATTGCTTTTGGGTAAGCTGATGGTGGCTGCTGTTTAGGTCACGTACATTCAACACTGCCCAATATCAATATGAAAGTATAGGCAGGGACAACCACTCTCAACCATTTTGCCCAAGGCTCTGTCCATCCTGGCCTTAAACATTGCAGGGATGGAGCATTTACCACTTCTCAGGGCAGCCTGTTCCAGTGCCTCACCACCCTCACAATAAAGAACTTCTTCTTTATATCTAACCTGAACTTCCCTGTTTAAAGTTAAACCCATTGTCTCTTGTCCTATCAGTCCAGTCCTGAGGAACAGTTTATGGAAGAAGGAACACAGCTGTAAACATCCAGGATGCCCTGACTGGTATGTCCACAGCTAACAAGAGGTAGGCAAAGCACCCGAGTTCTGGAAACTCTTACAGCATGGCTTACAAGTGTCCTCTTGTGCAGCACAAGACAGAGGTGAGCATCCACTTCCAAATTGGTCTTGGGTTCACCTCCTTGCCTCAAGTATTACAGAGAGCACCATGCCTTTGTGTCCTCTGCCCTGTGCACCACAAGACCCCTTTTGGGCTTACCAAAGACCAATACCAACAAAACTTAGCTTGGGCAAATGAAGATTCCTTTGTTTTCCCCTTCTCCAGGCATGGTTTGAGCTTTCACCCAGTTTTCCTGGTAAGCTCCTCTCCAGCTCTTTGAGGTTTGCAGCTACAAGCACAAAACCTCCAAAACACTTCCCTCCATGTCTTTCCACTGGCCATAAATGCTAACGTATTAAATAACCCCACAGTGTGCTGAGGGACCCTTTACATTATTAAACGCTATCATTCAGGTGTGAACCTTTCCATTGATTTACCACTCACTTCTCATCCTCTCCTGGATGCATTAAGCAGCTGCAACCCACAACTGGTATTGAAGAATAACAATTCCATTTGTTTGAATCTGACGCAGCGCTGCTCACTTTTGCAGCCCATATAATTCTCCTCACTACGGTTTATGTGACATTAATGACAAAATAAATAATTCAGCATGGTTTTCACCCAAATGTAGCCCTGTCAGAGACTAATATATAATCTTTGCTGGCTTATTTAACAAAACAAGACGCTGAATGGTACTTTCAAAGGTCAAAACTCTCATTTTAATGGAATTTGGTGGCAAAGCTCCCCTGAGACCCGATGGTAACTAACAGGTACAAGCTCCTGCCAACCCGTCTTCTCATTTAGCACTCACATTTGTGCTCTGCACGTGTACCTTCTTACCTTGCACATCTTAGGCTGGTTTTTCATGAAGCTGCACTTAGCTTGAAGGCACCATGAACTGAAGCTGAACAGCACCAGGAATGTCTGCACAGGGTAATTACGAGACAAGAGAACTCCTACTTCACTAATGATGCCCGGCAGTGAGACTTCATGAATGAAACCACTCCTGTTCTGGCTCTCGGTGGTGGATTCCGCAATGAACCAAGTCACTCCAAGCATCTGAGGAAGGCTGCTTGGCTACAGAAGCACTTTAACGAGACCACTATTAAAAAAAGAGAGGAAAGGGAAAAAGTAATTATTTTTTTTTGTACATTCGTGACAAAATTTCCAGTAACTTCATTGAGGCCAGGATATGCCCTTCTATTTTTTCCTTCATTTCTCATATGCTCATTCCTACTTGCTCTGTGTTCATTAAGGCTGTCCTTAGCTGCTGTGTTAAAATTGATGTCAATAGCTGTATAATTTCTGCGTAAAGGAACACTCCTACCAGAAAAACCTTTCAGCCTACAGTGCTGCTTTCCCTTAGGGGTGCATTGGCTCCAAAATGATCTTAGGGTTGCATTCGGATCAAGAGCCTTATTTCCTTCTGGGCAGCCTGTTCCAGTGCCTCACTGCCCTCACATTCTCACCTGGCTTTCTCTTTGTTGGGATGCATTGCTCCTGAGCTTAGAGAAGGTGATCCTTGAATATTATCCAGCTTTCTTGGGCTCCTCTTCTATCCAGGGCTTTATCCCATGGTACGCTACCAAGCAGAACCCTAAAGAGGCCAAAGTCTCTTGTAATCTGGGGTAGTGAGTTTGCTGTGTGCTTTCCTCACTGCCCTAAGGATCTTGAACTCCACCATTTCATGGTAACCGTTTGTTGATTAGCCAGATTTGACTGGCCCTTTCAAATCCCTTCCCTTTGATCTGCAGGATTGATGTTTGCCTGTAAACAACACATTCAGACCTGGCAAGTGCATCATGCCAAATTATTCTCCCCTGGAGCAGGGTCAATTTGATATTCAGATTGGCTTTTCATTTATCCTGGGTCTGCAAAGTGATTTTGCTTTCTTTCAGCTTCAATTTACCTAAACTATTGGTATCTGATTTCTGATGTTGCAGAATTGAACTGTCTAGACTGCTATCCAGGGTGTTTTTGCTCATGTCCACGGAGTCTGTTTTTCCTGTTGTGCAACTGCAGTTGCTGTTTGGAAAGATCATAGTGTGCATTAGGTAGATGATGAAATAAAGCCTAATGAATTCTCATGGAGAGAGAATCATTAAAGCTTGTGATTTGAAAATCATAAATGGCCCATTTCCTTCAAAATAAGATAATAATGAATAGATGATACATTTCAAAGTGTACTCTAAGTAAAACTGATAATGGTTTCCTTGGAGCTGGAAATTATGTGCCAGGAAAAGGATGCATCTGCCCCAAAAGCAGTGGAGATTAGGAGAGAATCAGAGACAACTGAGGTATCCATTTGGGCTTGTCTTCCCCAACCCTTGCTCAACAGCATTAACACAGTGAAGAGTAAACATAAAAACCCATAAAAATGGAAGATAACTTATTAAACGTGATGCAGAGGAAATCTATGGCAGGAGAAGGCACTGCTCCATTCCTTCAGTGTGTTCATCTACTGAAGGTAAAATCCTCTAGCAAACCCCAGATGCTGAAGCTACACACCATTCACTTATTCACATTCTCCTTTTTACAAACAAGCTGACATGATTTTAGGGTTCAAAACTCATTTTCCTTCATATTGCCCTAAAAGAACCAAACTTGCAGACTGAACATACACAGGTGAGGTTGTCATGAAGTAGATGATAATCAATGACACAGCAATGATCGTAATCTAAGCCTGGAAAATGTC